AATTTCATTTTGATTTATTCAGATAATTTTTGTCAAGTTTTCACTTTTTCTTGATTTTCAAATTGTATAGGATTACTAATATTATTGTAGAAATTTTTTTTTAAAAATCGCACGCAATAATAAATTGTTTCCAAGAATTCTAAAAATATTTTTTCTATATTACCTATTGAAAAAAATATTTATCTAAAAAATGATAATTCATTTTTCTAATATAGAAATACGGTTATCTATCAGGCGCCCAACACTCTAAATTTAGTCATATGATTTTAAACCTTTCAAATTGGAAAAAAAATCATCTAAAAACGTCTAAAGAATGGCCTTTACTTATTGATATGAAAATGCACAAAAATAAAATATTTAGCTAAATAATGAAAATTACACACACAAAAAAAATATATTTATCTAAAAAATGATTTTTCATTTATTGGTACGCCCATCCCTAATCCATTCAATTCTTTTTCTTCTCTTTCAAAAAAAAAAAAGATTATCTGTATAATCTAAGGAACAGGAGATTTTTTCTCGTGACATAAGCGCATTCAGAATTAGCGAAGTTGTATGAAAGAAAACTTGTTAATAAAATGAAAAAAAGTAACCGATGGAAATGAAGCTTCTTCTTTTATAGTCATGTGATAATAATTGACCATTATAGACGTCCTGCAGTAGAATAATTAATTTATATACATTTCTATTAGAATATTATAGATAAATATTTATTGAAAATGAATAAGATATCAATTTTCCTAATCGATAAAAATGCCATATTTTTTACATCCACCTGTAAAGTCTTTCTTAAATTAATATAAATAAATAGTTTTTAATGAGTAACAAATTGCTGTATAGAAAAGCGTCTGCCTCAAATAACATTGCTTTACAATTTCTCAATATTAAAATTAAAGACTTTGCTTCTAATGGGAGTATTGACGACTTCTGGACGGCAAAAGTAGAAAAATGGACATAAAACTATCAAAGGAACAAGTAAATAAATATTTGTAATATAGTGGAGCACTTATTTTATTGACTGTGAGCACAAAATATTAAAGAAGCAATTTTCAAAGTAACTTGTCTCTTTTTGGATCACTACTCTGCTAAACTTCTATATCTTCATTATCAATTATTTTTTGTCATCACTCCCACTGTTCCATTACTATTACAGATATTATCTTCGAACAATTTATTGTTTAGAAACATGACTCACACACTTTCTTCTTGAATAAAGACAAATTTTTGGGACAAATCTGTGAGTTGTCTTTATTATTATATTAATAATATTAATATGATGAACTCCTGAAATATCACTTTGTCTGGTTTTGTTGGCATATTTAGGATTCATTTAATCGATCAAAATAATCAATTATTAATTAGTATTAGTTAACCAAATAGTCAATTACATCTCCATATTCCACGTAAATATAAATGCGAAACAAATTATTTTATATAACTCCAATAAAAATTAATACATCTGATTTATTTCAAGTCTTATTTGATCAGAGTTTTTGAAAAAAGACGCTTATTATCAAAGACCTACCCTTATGTTACCATTCACATACGCTTTGATGATGTTTTGAAGTACTTGAGGATGTTCGAAAGTTGAAATATCTAAATCAATAGCTTGAACACCTCTAAAATTGGAAATATGGTCCACCCTTGAATCTCCATAAGTTTTACTCAACTTTTCTAATACACGAAGGCAACTATTGCCACAATTATTAACCTTGAATTTATTTAAGTTCGTGAATGGTGCAACAACAATCAAAACATCCAAAAACTTATCTACATATTCCTCATTTTGCCGAATAAGAGTATTGAAATCAAATGTAATTGTACTGCTTCCAAAGAAAGGACTTGATTGACTGATTTTGAGAAATTCTTCTAATGAACTTTCTTCGGATTCGGATAGTTTGCTTTCTTCATAGAATTTTTCAAGACCCATCGAAATACCCCCACCCATAACAGCTCCAGTTATACCAGATGCAATGGTCCCCTGTTAGATATTATTATAATAATAGGAAAATTTAATGTAAATGATTATAGATTTTTATGAATTTTTCCTCAAAAAGCATACCACAGTACCAAGACCTGCAGCCCCTATGCTTTGTAATATCGCACACACGCTCCCAGATGTGACTGCACCATTATAAAGTGACATAATCCAAGCCGCAAAAGATCCCACTGCAATTCCGCCTATTTTTTTTTTTTTTTGATTAGTATAGAATTAAAATTTATTTCTTAGTTGTACATAACTTTAGTTCCATCTTATTTTTATATCAAAGTATTGCCAATAAACCTGCTTCAAACCCAATGGCACTCACAACCCCCGCAACAATATAAGGTGCCATAAATGCCGCCACGAACGCTGCACCCCCAAACTTTAAAGCAGATTCCAACTTGGACAGATCTTGTGTAAAGAATACATTGTAAAGGGAGATTTTGAAGAGGTCAACATCATTGATAATTTCATTCGTGGTGCCATCATTGGCGATTGTAAGGAATTTATCTTGATAAAAGGAGTAGTAGCTTGCCATTGAGAGAGCACAAAATTAACAGGAGGGAACACAAAATTTTAATTCATGCCATTTGTTGATTGACCAATTAAAATCGCGAATTTGATAAACGTGGAAATAAATATGGTTTGATTCATTTTGTCAACAATCACTTCACCAACAATTGTTTCGTTAATGAATTTAAGAAGTTGGAAGCAACCATTGAAATAGTCTAATAAATTAAATTGTACTACTCAAAAATGTATTTAAAGGGTTGGTTTTCGACTTGGTTGA